CTGCACAGCCGCAGCCGCTGACACCAGCCCTCTGCTCACCCCCGGCTTCCCCCACCCGTCCCCACCTCCCAGCGCCCAACTGGAAGACACTGGGTCAGGCGTTAGGGCAGCTGGAGAAGGGTCAAGGCTACGTGCAAACATCTCTGCGCAGCGCCCACGGCTGGGTGCAGCCACGTTTCGGGGGGAGCAGAAGGGGGAAGCACCAGTGCAGCCCCCGTTTAAGCCAGCTCAGCCCCTTGCCCAGGGCTCTCTCCCCGCGTTCGGGGTCTCCAGCACCCGAGGGCCAAGGCACCCCCACGTCACTCACCTCCAGGAAGCGGAGGAGCTCAATCTCGTAGTCTTTCTTTTTCTGGAGGGAGATGGAGAAGTGTGGTTACACAGAGATCCCCTGCCCCATCCCTGCCCTGTGCAGTCCCCGACCCGGCCTCGGCCCCCTCAGCAACAGCATCCTCCACCCGGACCACCTGCTGGTCCCACACACACGGACTGGGGAGACAGAGGACCACGGGAGGTGACCGAGGTGACTTTGCTGTTGGGCGGATCTGTATTTAACGCTGGGGTGAAATCACACGCCTGGCTGGGAACCTCATTTCCAGCGAGATTTAGAGCCCAAGCTCTCCCATCCTACTCCTCCTCCCCACACCTCTGCCTGTCCGTCCGTCTGTCCGTCCCCAGCCACTCACCTGATCACACTTTTTGTGGTACGCGTCCTTTTCCTTCTGGGAGAGCAGTTTCCACTGCTGGCTGCACAGCACCATCCGCTCGGTGCTGGGCACGTCTTTCATGTTGGCCATCAGCTCTGCGCAGTACAGGGAGTAGCTATTCCTGCAACCGAGGGAGGGACCCAGCGTTAGGGACAACCTGCCCCGCTCGGGTCCCCTCTGTGGAACTGGCTGGGTGCTAAGAGCCCCTCAAGACACCCCCCGCAGCTGCCCTCTGGGTTGCACCGAGCAGCGAAGCGCTGAGCCAGAGGTGGCTGCACTTTAGGGAAGCGAGGGGCTGGATTGTCCCCTAACCCGGAGCACGCAGCATCCCCATAAACCTCGCTCGGATTCCTGCAAAATGGCTATTTAATGTATATTTAAGGACCAGCTTAATGGGGTCACTGGCAACCCATGCCCACGGTCCCAGAAATTACTGGGGCTCCCAAAGCCAGGCAGCGCCCCAGCTTCCTCATTAGCAAGAGCCAGCGTCCACCCGAGCTGGCCAAGAGCCTGAAGCGACAGCTCGGAGAGGGACACGTCCCTCGCACCCGGGCGGGGAGGGACAGGGACTCACGGAGGTGGCTTTGTGGGTCGCCCGTCGAACTTGTCCTTGAGCTGGCGCTCAGCCTTGGTGAGGGTGGAGCGGGTGATGCCCTCCTCGCTGATGTTCAGCTCGGGGTGCTTCTGGATGTAGTCACGCATGATCTCCTGCGGAGGACGGAGAGCAGTCAGGAGAGGGGCTCCGATCCCCGCCTGGCTGGGGGCCGGAGGAGGAGGAAAGAGAAGCCAACCATTGCCCTAATCATCTCCCCAGGGCTACTTCTCCCTTCGCCAAACATCGCTGGGGGAGGCAGGGCTCAGACTCGCTAGGGACCTGCAGGGATCTGGCTGAACCCCCACGCTGGCTATCGGGTGAGGCTGGCTAGCTGCCGGTGGCTGTGGCCGGGAGGCAGAGCGGCTCGGAGTGAACACAGGGACGAGTGTGGAGGGGAACGGGTGAGGCTGCTCCCTACCTCGTACTCCTTCCGCTGTTCCAGGGCCTTATGAATCCATTTCAGCCTCTTTTTATCCGAGAGTTGAGACCACTGCTTGCCCAGCGACTCTTTCACCTCCTTCGTGGTGGCCTGAAAACCCAAAGCCAGAGGTGAGGGCAGAGGGGTAAAACCCACAAAAAAAAAAAAAAAAAAAAAAAAAAAAAAAGGAAAAAAAAAAAAAAAAATAAAAAAAAAAACAAAAAAGGAAAA